AGCCTTTAGGGTCCTGCTAGCCTGGCTTCCCCAAAAAAAGAACAAATCCCCAGTTTTAGCATGTTTGGTTTAGAAAGGAAGTGGATTTTAAGATGTCTTGGAGCAGCTCAAGCTGTCGCACCGGGGAGGGTTTGTGGCCAGGGACCCTGGGGGACCCTGAGATGTGGGTGATGGGAACAGGGGGGCCTCAGCAGGGCAGCTACAGCCCAGCCCCAGCGAAGCTGCACCAAATGGGGCTGGGTGCCAGGACCCCCAGCTCAGTTCGGGCACCCCACTTCCAGCACGGTGCCGTGTGTGCAGAGGCTGCAGGCAGGGAGGGGGGCAGCGAGGCAGGGAAGGGCTGGGGCATGGGGAGACGCTCCCGCTTTGCGGTCAGCACCATGGTGCCAGCGCAGGGTCTAACTCTCCTCCTTCTCCTCCGCCGTGGATTTCTAGGAGTACATGAGGCTGTCTGACGTTTTCAGGTTCTGCCGCAATGCACCCGGCCCCAGCCCGGACACTAAAGCTTCCGCTGCTGCCCCTGCTGCCGCTCAGCGCTCTTTCTTGCTTGCTGTCCCTCCCACAGCCGACGAGGTACCCGCTCCAGAGCGTCCTCGGGTTTGCTCCCGGGGGTTGCCTGCCCTGTCCCGGGTGGTGAGGATGCTGCAGCAGCCTCCCTGGTGCTCAGAGCCCCCCTCTCTGTCAGGCTGGGGGACTCGTCCGGCTGCAGTGAGCAAGGAGCAGAGGCTGGGGCTGCCAGGTCTCATTGCCAGGGAGTGCTTCTCACCGGCTCCGGCTGGGCTTTGCCCTGTGAGGCGGCGGCAGCAGGGCTGGGGAGCCGAGTGGATGCCCAGAGGGGCAGGAGGGTGGCCCTTTGCCTGTCTTGGCCACCAGTCACTGGTGGGGACCATGCAGAGCAGGCAGGGGGACCTGAGCCAGCGCCTGTCACCAGGGCAGTGGGCACCACCACTTTCCCTTCCTGGGGACATGGCACTCTCCTTTGGGGACTGCTTGCTGCCCTATGCCTGCTTGCCCTTGCTCAGAGCCTCTTCTCCCGGTTTAATCTGCTTCTCTCTGCCCAGTACGTGACCGTTGAGCAGCTCTCGGGCATCCTGGGCAGCCCCCGTGTTCCTGCCGCTTCACCGCTGGGCTGTGCCCCGCCGGCTCCTTCATCCTCAGGCTGCACCGCTCCTCCTCCTTCTCTTCCTCTTCCATATCTCTCTTCTCCCTCCGTCTCTGCAGAGGTTCGTGCCCCGTTTCCCTCCCTCTGCCCCTGCGCTCTCCCTGGGCTGTGATGGGGATACAGGGGAAGGGCTGAGCCGCAGATGATGCTCTAACCCACCTGCAGACCCCTTGCTGCTCTGCTGCTGCTTCACTGCTTGCCGCGGTGTGGGGCAGGGGGTCTCTGTGCCCTCCTGGTGCTTCCATCGGCTCTCGCCGGCCCCATGAGCAGCAAGGGGGTCCCAGAGCTGCCAGGACTCAGCCAGGGGGTGTGTGGGGTCCCCAGGGGTCCTGTTCTGGTGGTGCAGATCCAGGCAGGGATGCTCCAACCTATCTCTGTGCATCTGTCCCTCTGGCCATGTTTTGCCCTCCCTCTTCTCTCACACTGCGTCTCTCTCCAGATGGAGCAGCAGCTTCCAGGGGTCTCTGCGTGGCCCCCAGCTCTCGATTTAGAGAAGTGGTACCAGGAGGTCATGGCTGGCTTTGAGACTTCCTCCTCCTCTCTCTCTCCTCCTTCCTCCCCTCCTCCGCTTCCAGCTAAAGCTCACTCCTCTCACAAGCCTCTCCAGGTAATCCCGGCTCTGAGCAGCGCAGGGACCTTCCTGCCAGGCACCGCAGGGGCAGAGCAGACCCATGGCCGGCAGCCACTGCCTCCCCTCACTGCACCCCTGCCAAGATGGCACCGACACCGGGGCAGGGTCTGGGAGGGGATGCTCAGCCCCACTGACGGCTTCTGCAGCCCCCCATTGCCCCTCTCACCTCCCTCTCTCTGTGCCCAGGTCTATCGTGCCAAAACGGAGGGTGACGCTGGTGCCCTCACCCCTCGGATGAAGAGTGGGACCCCCTCCTCCTCGCAGCTCAACCTCTCCGTGCTGGGGCGCAGCCCCTCGCCCAAGGTACGGCTGCCGGGGAGAGCTGGGCATCGCGCGTATCCGGGCACAGCTCTCGGGCACCCAGTGCCACCCCCTGTCCCTGTCTCTGCTGCTGACCCCCTCCATCCTGCCCAGGGCCCCCCCAGCCCGGCGGGCAGCCTCCCCCGCAACCTGGCGGCCACGCTGCAGGACATCGAGACCAAGCGCCAGCTGGCCCTGCAGCAGAAGGGTGAGCTCTGGCTCCGTGGGCGGTGGGGCTCTGGGGGACGCTTCCCCCGCTGCCATGCGGGCCGTGGAGGTGGCGGTGGCGCTCCGGCGGGACGCGGTGCCTCTCTCACGGTCTCTCGCTTCCCCCCCTCTCTCCCTCCCGACCCCGACGGTGCGTCTCCAGCCGAGCCGCTCCCAGCAGAGCCCTCACAGCCGGGCGATCCACCAGGTAGAGACGGGGGGCGGCTGGGAGTGCCTCGAGCGGCCCGGAGGCAGCAGCATGGCTGTTTGCTGGCACCTTCTGCCATGCGAAGGAGGGGCATGACCAGCCCAGGACCCCGGGTCCCTCTTGGCATCTGCTTAGGGACAACCCTCTGCGTCCCTGACCCGTTAACGCTTTGCCCAGCCTGGCGCATGCCCCCCTTGCCTGCCGGGATCCCTTCCTCCTTCCCCGGAGGGATGCTGCTTGCTGTGCTCACCGGGGAGTTGGAACGGTGGCTCCCACCACCTCACCCTGGCTCCTGCAGCGTCTTCTGCCCGCGCTGTCCCCTCGCCCACACTGCCTTGGCTCTGAGCGTGGCGTGCTCTGCCATCATCGTTGTCTTCTCCCTGTGGTGCAGGTCAGCAGGTGATTGAGGAGCAGAAGCGGCGGCTGGCGGAGCTGAAGCAGAAGGCAGCGGCCGAGGCTCAGTCCCAGTGGGAAGCCCTGCACGGGCAGCCCCCCTTCCCCACCGCCTTCCCCCCACTCGTCCATCATTCCATCCTCCACCACCACCGGCCCCACGGCGCCGGGCCCCGGCCTGAGGAGCTGGACCACGCGTACGACACCCTCAGCCTGGAGAGCTCAGACAGCATGGAGACCAGCATCTCCACCGGCAACAACTCCGCCTGCTCACCTGACAACATCTCCAGGTAGCCCTGGGGCCAGCTCCCCTGGCCGAGGGCCAGCCTGCTCTGCTGGCCATGCTGCTGGCCCACGGTCCTTCCCGCTGGGATGGCAGCTCCTGCCACTGTCTTGCAGTGCCAGTGTGATGGATGCAGGGAAGATCGAGGAGATGGAGAAGATGCTGAAGGAGGCGCACGCGGAGAAGTCGCGGCTGATGGAGTCCCGGGTGAGCGGGGGCTCCGGGGGGCACCTCGGCCGGGCAGTGGGTCCCCCATTGCTGGGGCTGATGCCTACACGTGCCGGCAGGAGCGGGAGATGGAGCTGCGGCGGCAGGCGCTGGAGGACGAGCGCCGGCGCCGGGAGCAGCTGGAACGGCGGCTGCAGGACGAGACAGCGCGGCGGCAGAAGCTGGTGGAAAAGGAGGTCAAGCTGCGGGAGAAGCACTTCTCCCAGGTGCGGGGTGCATGGGGTCCCCCATCCCAGCCTGACCCGTGAGGTGGACCCAGCTCCCTGCCAGTGTGCCGGGGAGACACAGCTCTCTGCCGACGGGCTTTGCAGGGCTGTGTTGCTTTTCCAGGCGCGTCCCCTGACCCGGTACCTCCCCATCCGCAAGGAGGATTTCGACCTGCGGCTGCACATCGAGTCCTCGGGGCACAGCGTGGACACCTGCTACCACCTCATCCTGACGGAGAAGATGTGCAAGGGCTACCTGGTCAAGATGGGTGGCAAGATCAAGTCTTGGAAGAAGCGCTGGTTCGTCTTTGACCGCATGAAGCGCACCCTCTCCTACTACGTGGGTGAGTCCCTGCACTGCCCCACGCCATGTCCCACTGCCCTCTCCCCATCCCCTCGTCCCCCCTCCCCCCCAGCCCTGTGGTCATCACTGGTTCCTTCCCTCGGGCAGATAAACATGAGACGAAGCTGAAGGGCGTCATCTACTTCCAAGCCATCGAGGAGGTTTACTACGACCACCTCCGCAGCGCGGCCAAGGTGAGAGCGGGGCATTGCTGCTGCTGTGGGGTGCACTGGGACCCCCCCCGGCATTGCTGTCCCCCCCATCACCCTCCACTGTGTGGGGGGGGTGGTCAGTGGTGGGGATGCTCCCTGTGGTCCCCTATCCCGGGGTGTGGGGGGCAGGACGCAGGCGGAGGCGGGGCACACAAGACATCGCTGACCCCGTCCTCTCCTCCCCCCCAGAGCCCCAACCCCGCGCTCACATTCTGCGTCAAGACCCACGACCGCCTCTACTACATGGTGGCCCCCTCGGCCGAGGCCATGCGCAT